ATCTTTTATCAAAGTCCAGACAGAGGTATCAGAATCTTAGCACCCTGAAGCAAAGTAAGCTAGAAAGGAGAAGAAAACAAAATGACTGCCATTAGCACCTAGCATTAATTTTAAATTATTAAAATGTTTGCTACACTACCTTTCGTGTAGCAGAAAACAGCCTGTTTAATATTGTCCTGCTCCAGTGACATTTCTGCCAGTCTAACCCACTCCTCGGTATTGCTAGGATTTAAGTGAGCTGCAATCAGTCCAAACTGGAGTGACTTCTCCATATCACCCTGGTCTTCATAGATCATGGCAAGAGTGGAAAATGGCTCATGAGCAAGAGGAGCTGTGAAAAGACAAAAACAATTACTAAGATTTATTGTTTAAAATCCACACTGGAAATAAATAACTTGCCTTTCTTGAAGAACAGGTATCAGAATTATATAAAACGTTCACGTGTGCTGCTTAAATTCGGGAAAAACTTGCAAACAAGTTTCTGATTCCTATTTGTAAATTATTGAACAGCCTGACTGAATCTAACAACAACCATTTATAGTATTATTCTACAATGCAAGTCATGCTCATGCTTATACCTTGTGTCTACAAAGACAACAGAAGCAAATTGTGTAAAGCTAAGCCAAGACCTGGACCTCTGCAGAACTGAGGTACTAGTTTATTTTTATAAGCAAAAAAAAAAAGGAAGTGCACGACATATTCTTAATTCTACTCCTTTTACCCTGACTTTGCCTGTACTGTTTATTTTCATCTTCAGTGAAGCCACACTGAATCCTCCTCCTGCACATGGAATTTCTCCCCATCCTCAAAGCCCAAAGGTTTGCCCATGTTCCCATACCTTGCCGAATGATTTCCATGCACATCAGAATGGCCTCCTCACGCTCCCCTCGAGCAAATCTGATGTTGGCCTCTCCCATCAGACCCCTCAAGGCACGGGGAAGTTTGCTGCGAGGTCTTTTCTCCTAAATGGAAAAGGGATGCTATTTCTGCCCAAGGTTGAGTTGTGCCCAAATTCAGGAGACCCCTTGTTGTGCTCACCACCCCCTAACACCAAGTTATTTAAGTACTGGCAATATTGAATGACTGACCAAAAACTTGCTAAGGTTCATGGTTTTCTGACACTGATTTCATGATTTCTGAAAGCTTTCAAACAATAAACTACAGTGCTTTTATAATAAACAAAGCATAACAAACACCAGCATAAGCAGGACTGTCCTACATGGAACAATTTTCAGGCAAATTTCTCAGTAAGCAGCTAAAAGTCACACAGAGTGGCATTGATGCACTATGGTCAGGGGACACATGGAAGTTATGTGGAAGTTTAAATACTTGCTTTCATCATTTTCTTGGTCTCTCGATTAAGAACCATCTCCAAAACAAAAACATCTCCAGCTGTAGGCTGCTCCGTAGTTTCTTCTTCTTCTTCTTGTTCTTCCTCCTCCTCCTCCTCTTCTTCATCCTCCTCCTCCTCTTCATTTTCCCCAAGCATGGATGCAAAGACTCGCTGGACAGATTTACTGACCCCATCTGCTGTTTCTCCTGGTTGAGAAAGAAGTAAAATAGGTTTATGCTATAATGAAGAGGACATGCTGCTTCTCTGGACAAGTGCAGAGAAATCAGCAGCCCACTTGAAGCAGCTATTCTGTATGAGTGCTGCCTGCAGAAATGCAGAAAAACTATTACCAGCCTCTTTGGTTTTAAAACTCTGCATTATTCATCACCAATGCTTGGTAAGGCCCAACCTGTAACATCTTTTGGGTACTTGAAATGAAAGCAGGGAGGAACACACAGAATGAAGCCACAGTTTAATCAACATTTTTCTCAATACAGAAGAATATTAAGCAATTTTCAAGCACTGAGCTGGCTAGCTGCAATAAGCTTTTCAGCTGAAGAGGCTATAAGTGAGCAGAGAATTCTACTACACAACAATCCAGCAACCAACTTTTAGAAGTAATTGAAAACAAGATCTTGGAACCATTCCATCCAGGACAACAAGTACCTTTTAACATGTGTAAATGCAAAATCCAGATTATTTGCACTTCTCTGGAAAAAGAACAAAATTCTTTTAAAAAAGTAATAAAATGATGCTAAGTACTCTGAATAAATATACTTAAGACATATATTTTTAAAAAAATACCATTTTTTTATTTACAATTTCTCCTTATGAAGTGAACTCAGGGTTATAACTCACTAGAGATCTATATACAAAACTCCGAATATGTAGGGTTCAAAGGTTTGAGCTGCGGGACTGGACACCTAAAGATTTGATTAAAAAATAACCACAGTATCAAGTTGGGACTGAAAAACAAATCTATCATGTATTGCTTATATAGGAGAGGGACTTGGGGACCACACCAGGGTTTATGGTTATTTGGATATGTTTGGTTATTTTTACGCTGACTTGGATATTGAGCATCTAAACACAAAACTTTTCTTCCCCTGTCCCCATCTGTAAAAAACCCCATAATTATTAATTTAATTTCCCTTTTATTTCAGTCCCTTCAGAGACCAGAAAGGAAAAATGGAGCCAGGTTTTTATGAAGTCAGTTATTGAAGAGCAAATGCTTCCAGTGTCTTTTTAAATACGAATGATTATGTTAAAAATACCTACCATCAGTTTCATCCTGACTTTGGGATTTCCCAGATGCTTTTCTGGATGAAGATGGAGCCTCTATATCTTCCTCATTTTCCTCAGCAGATGCATTTTCACCATCCTACACACACCAAAACCACGAATTATTACCTTTATAGTATCACCCACTTTTATTTCCCCCATATATTTACAGTAACCATTTGGCTTTCCAGCCTTTGCACTGTCAGTGAGACAGGTGGGATAAGCACTGCATTTTTAAGTGAATAAAATCCAGCAGTACTTGCTTTCAAGACATTTATATTTTTATCAATGTGTGTTGACTCAGATGGTGACTGTTCACACTACTTTTGACTGAAGAGACCAGTCCATTGCTTATCTGGCATTTCAGTGAGGTGGAATGACATGTTGACTGTATTAGGAAAAAAAAGTTCCGTGTGACAAATCCTTCCAGAAGCCCGTCAATATCAAAATAGCACTCATTAATCCGGTAAGAATGCTGCCCAAGGATAATACTTATCCTTCCATGACAGCTGAGCTCTGCTGAATTTGTTTTCCGAAGGCCAAAAAATGCAGAAATTCAGTAGCACTTTGACAAATATATAGCAAAGTTGAAAAGAACTGCAACACTCCAACAAATCATATACATCTTCTTTTAATCATATCGCCTACATAGTGTCGGACGCAAAACTGTCTCCCTGTATTTACTGCTGCCAAGAAATCAAACGAGGAGCCGCACTGGCTCTCTCCCTTAGATCTCAGATGCTGGTGGGGGAGCTGTAGCAGCAAAATGTGGATGAGCTTCTACCCAAAGCAGCTCCTTGCCGCGACCCCAAGCACCAATTACGAGCGGGGCGGGCGGTGCTGCAGAGCATCACGGAGTGATGGTGCCATTCTGTGCCCTGCACAGCCCGCCGGGACCTTCTGCTGCTCCGCACACACAAATTCACAACTCCGTAGCCGCAGCAGCAGAGCGGGTGAGCCCCTGCACACACACACGGTGCAGCGATCCCTGCATTGCCAGGCGCTGTCATGAGGGTGGCGGCCCGGGCCGTGGGGCGGCCAGGCGGGGCAGACTCACCTTCTCGCGGCTCTTGCGCTCCTCGCGGCGCTGCTCGAACTCCTCGAAGGAGATTTTCCCTTCCAAGTACTCGATCAGCTCCGGGCTGAAGCCCGACATGGCCCCGGCACGGCCCGGCCCGGCCCGGCCCGGGGGAACGCTGTGAGGGAGGCACCGCGTCCGTCCCGCTATGGCGCCCGCCGCAGCGCGCGCCCGCCCGCGCCAGTTCCGGGCGGCGGCGGCCGCGCCTGAGGGCAGGGCGGGGACAGAGCGGCTCTTGGCGCAGCTTTATCGCTTTTATTGTCACCGCAGAGGGGCTTAAAACTCCCTCCACTGAGCGACAGTGCCATTCTGACCAGCGCAGGGGCAGAAATGGGCGTGCGGGGCCGGGGTGAGGCACAGGCAGCCAGAGCGCCACCAAGAAACGTGTTGTACCGAAAGAGGATCTGGAAACTTGTCACAGAACACCTTGGGACATCTCGTTCTAATAAACGGAAAGGGAACATTTATTTACCAGCTTTGAACAAAAACACTTGGCAGTAGTAAAATGCACGCTGTTGCACTCCTTATTTATTCACACTTAAGCACAATTCTGCTCACAAACTGCAGCAGCCGAAGAGCACACATTTGTCAATAGACAGAATAATGCTCATTACAGCAGGACACCAGATTCCACTGGCAGAAAAGGCGACAGTGAAGAAAATTTTGGATTGTCAGCTAACAGTTAAAAAGTCAAAGCAGTAACGTTTTGCTGTGAAGGTTTCCACTTGGTATGGAGTCCTGAAGTTAACACCTGAAAAAGAAAAAAAAAAAAAACCCAAACAAATATGTGACAGAAATACCTGTAATCAAGGTATGGTCCAAACCAAGACAAGAAAACACTGGCTGAACCTCTGCTCCACAGTTCTGAACACTGAAAAGAACTACCATGACCGTCCTGAATTATGCAGGACAAAAAACTTCCACCAGTCATTTTCTCACTGCTGTTGTGACTTACAGTACAGCATCCCTTCTGAATTCCCTTTTCATTTTTTTTCATACACAAAATACACATTCTCTGGTGCTTCTTTTTTTCCTGACATAAAAACGCAGCAAAAAGAGAATTTAGTATTAAAATTTGAGTGCAGCCTTTATTATGGTTCATGATAATAAGAATAATGGAGCTTCGATTTTGATTACAAAGAGAGAATAGGTTAAGCAGGCTGAGAACAGGACAGAGCTGGAAATCCAAAATTAAATATTGATTACAACTTAAGCATTTTAAGATACTGAGTAAATCACCAAAATGATTTAAATCTTATTGAAATTCTCAACTGTTTATAAAGCAGAAGATAACATTTACTGTGAATTTAAAAGATAATGCAAGCTTTGTTAGTGCAATAACTTATGTCTAAATTAATTTTCTAAATTAATTTTCTTAATATACATATATCACAAGAAACCATTAATCTCAATTTAGAATCTCACTCTTCCTTACATAAAACCTACATCCCCTATTATCTCTACATTTTCAGACTTCTCCATATGAAGGAGGGGAGAAAAAAAGAGAAAACAAAAAATCATGGTCTATATAGGTTTGCACAAGCACCATGTGCTATTTTATCTAAGTAGTAATTACCTCATAAATCTCTGGCTCAAGAATTTTAAAACCCACTTCAGGCAAGGGTTAAGGTACTATATTTTAAATTCCTTCTGAGAAAGAAGTTGCTTTTATACCTCAGTCAGAATCTTGGTTACACATAACTTTAGAGGACAAGGCATCCTCTTTTACCTTCCACAGCAGAATCTTTCAGCCTTTGAAATAGTTCTGAAAAGATTTTTTCCTTTCTTCATAATCTGCAAATGCAGAAGCGATAGGATCTGAGTAGAACATGACAGGCTTTGGTCCTTCATTGTTCACAGTGAAAGTAGCTGGGAACTTCCTGAGATCGAGACCCCTGCCCGAGAAGTAAGCCTGGAGTGTTCTGAAAAACTGAACATATTGAGGATGTGAAAATAAACAGAGCATGACCGATGGAGATTAATTATTTCTACTGACACAAATTAGATCTAATAGTTGTTCTGCTGTGGGATGAAGTCCTCTGTTCTGATCAATCCTGATACAGTGTAGGCAACCTAATTCAGAGATGCCCCCCCCATGCATGGCTTGTACATCTTGTGTGAAGTCAGAAGAGCAGCAACTATTTCCTGCTCATTTATGCTCCCCACTGCACCACAGGGGCTGTGATGTACAGGGGGTGTGCACCCCTTGTAAAACAGGCACAGCCAACCCCTGCTGAGAGCAAACAAGACAATTCTGTAAACCTTTTGGTAAGAGTCACCAACAACGGGCAATTGATTTGAATTTACAATTGTCCCCTTACAATCACTTCACAGGAAAAATTAAAGCTTCTTAAAACACTGAGGAAAAATTACAGGCAACCAATCTTTTTCCTTTGCAAATTCTTTTTAAGATTGTGCAAATGTTCTCTGAGTGATATTTTTGTAGCTGTCAGATGAAAACTTATTAGTACTTCCATGAGATTAAACAACATGCAATCAGAGCACATATTTGAAAGAAACATAGTAATCATTCCTCTTCTGTTTCATAAAACAAGTGGCTGTATAATCAAATTAATTTTTTAAAAATGAAAGCTGCTGGATGGAACTTATGTACTTCTGTGCTCTGAGAACGTCTCTTCAGTTAAGAGGTACGTCTTGACTGAGGAATGGTTATTGACTATACAAAGGGCACACTTCCTGGCATTACAGCTAATGGGCCCCTCTTGCCTTTAAATTTAGATGATAAGGAGTCTTTTCATGGAAAATAAAATAACCACACAGAACTTCAGCTCTTTTTCTTGAAACATTTCCTTACCAGGTCTCTGTTTCTGGGATTATCAAGAGGCTTCCATTTCTCTTCTGGTTGGAAAGGAGCACCCTTTGCCAATCCTCTCACAGTCAATACCACATACAGACCCAGGAGCAGCACTTTCCTCATGCTGGAGATGAGCAGACTGTCTGTAAGAAGGACAAACAGACAGACCCCTTAAATCCTACAGAGCTGCCACTGGGAACACACAAATCTTGTGAAGCCAATGAAAGTCTGCCTATTGCAGGTTACATCCATGTGCTATCAACGATTTGTTTTCATAGTACTAAGGTACATGGAAGAAAAATTATTCTAAACAAGTGTTTCCCATATCAAAGCTATTTCTAGACACTGGACTCTCTTCTGAGGGACCAGTAAAACACTCAACACAAAATATTACATTTGTAAATTTATATTTACTAAATACAGCCATATTCAGTGGCTAATACAGCACCAGAACTCTGTGTGCTCCAAGGAGAATGCAAAAATATGGCTCAAGATCCAGAGAGCTCAGTTTTAAAATTTTTTAAAATTTTTTAAAAATTTTTTAAAATTTTTAAAAATTTTTACTACATATAATAATAAGTGCAATGATATTTAATACAGCCTGGTCTAACACACTAGAGATCCATTTCACAGCTCGACTCGGGGAGAAAAGGAATTCTCCCTCTCACATTGTTTAAAAGAGAGCTTACCAGGGAATTTGGCTTTGGCTTGCCCCTTCTTGGTTGGTCTCCTCATAATCTGTGAACAATCTGATCTCTGCACTTATATTCCTAGTAGACTGTAGGTGGGTGTCAATGACGTTAGCAGGAGTTCAAAAATACAGTAATGATTCCATTTCCAGCCATGACATAAAGACCCTTGAGAATTTCATCCTTGATGCTCTTCAGACCTGTTGCTATTGAACAGTGCAGTACAAATTCCTCCCAAGCCGTATTGCAGAAAATCGGTAGTAGGCACGTAGGAAGTTTAAAACAATTCCCAGGAGAAACAGCACAGCTTTATCAAAATATTATTTTTAGTTAAAAGTAATTAGCCATATCCCTAGAATGGTGACTAATGGTTTTCAAGCAAATAAGATAAGGATCACTTTCTTGATGCTGGAAAAAGAGAGAGAAAAGTAAGGTCTATTTCAATATCCAAAACCATAACATTTTAATGGAAGCATTGCTTTCCTACCCCGATTTTATCAGCAGTTAATATCCTCCTGTCACACTAGAAACTAAGACAAAGGCTGCAAGGAGGGCTCTCCTAATTTACCTTGGCCTTAGTGCATAGCATTTTTCACATCAAAGCTGCTCGTATTTTTTGTTAATTATTTCACTGCACTCTTCTCTCTGCTATATAGATGATACATAATTTAATATCACATCAAATATATCCCTAAATAGACACGTTAAAATTAGAAATACTTGACCATCACCTTACTCCAGAGTATAGATATTTATGTCTGACTAGAAACTTTACATTTTCCTTTGGTTTAAATTTTGAAAGCAAAATAAAAACCCACCACACCCTTCCAGGAAGGTGAAGTTTTGGACATCCAAACATCATTAGCAACACAGTAAACAAAATCTTAGCAATGTTATTTTCATGACTACAGTAGTATATAAAAATTCAAGACAATTTATCCAACTTGTTTATTATCCTGCATATTTAGATTTAAAAAAAAAAAAAATAATACACACAGAAAAGAAAATCCATCAAATTTCATCAATTATGTTTCATATCACTCAGCTTCCAGATATGGACTCATCAAGAACAGAGCAGTAGCACCAGAATAACTTGAAAAAGGCAGGTCCCAGCACAAGGGAACTGTCTTTGTTGATCTTCTAGGTATATATTTCAGCTAGAAATAGAAATATACTCATGTAGAGGAAATGACAGAAAGGGGAAAATGCAAGATTTAGTTTGGGATTAGGTTTTAGTTCTTTCTTTATCTTTGGAAAAAGGAGGGAGAAAAAACCAAAAAAGCCAGAAGAGCTCGCACTTTTCTTCTACCTCTTTTTTTCCTCCTCAATTAATTTATTCCTCTGATTTCTTTACAAAGAACTGGGGATATGCAGTATATTCAGCTAGTAAAACATACCAAAGTCATCTGCAAATATGAAACAAGCTTTATTACTGGAGGAACACAGGCAATTTGGGTGACTAATGAAGCATGCAGATATGCAAGAGATTCAATTAGCATATATTTTCTGTGAGCTGTCTAAAAAAAAAAATAAAAAAATCCTTACACACTTGTATTGTTGCTTCCTGAGCTAAAGCTTTGAGAAACTGTTGGGAGCTAAAAAGTCTGTTTAGACCCAGTGCTCGTTTTAATGTGTGGGTTGTTTTTTTTTAGTAATTTCAATTCTTTCCTTCAGAGAAAGTCAAATATAAGCAGAACACATTGATATTAAAATACTATTGGTATACTTACACTGACTGAATTAAATTACATCCTCGTTTCTGAGGACAGTAGCTAAGCTTAACAAATGCTGTCAAAGTCAGATGTATGTCAGGGTGCTGCCTTTCTAATGCACCCAAATTTAAGCATCAGGTTTTCTTGATAAACATCTTCAACAAATCAAGTATTTTTAAAGTGTCTATACTAATTATATAACCTTTCTGGCACAGTAAGTAATGTTCAGGTGTTTGAATTCAACTGCAGTGAAGATGAAAATGCTCATAGCATTGTTTGCTCAGTTCCACGCAATTCACCTCTAGAAGGTGAAAATTTAAAATATACTAGTTCAGCTGAGAGCAAGTTTTATACATATGATGCTCTATATAAACTGTATTATTCAGCAAACACTTTGAATTTTATTCATATCCCATTCATGAAGCCTGAGGTGGAGTGAGCCAAGCTTCATCCTGTATTATCTTTATTGCATTCTAGTTGAGGTGTAAAAGAAGCACCTGTTAAAGCACTGCTCCAACCATGAGGCTTTTGTTTATTACTTTTATTTCTGCTTAGAATCCCAAATATTACAAGTCAGAAAGAAAAGCACCAAACTGCTCCACATGAATACCTGAGCCAAGACCAAAGGCAAACATTGCTCACAACGCTCACCAGTATGTTTGTACAACAGCAGTACAGGTAACACAACACTCCACAGAGCAGCACTGGCAAGTGGCACTTTTTGTGAAATACAACCATTTGTACAAATGCAAGCACATTGGAATACCATACAAAAATATACAGAAGTGTTTCTTTAGCAGGGGATTTGCTATACAACATACTTAAAATCATGCACACTTAGGTAAAAAAAAAAAAAAGACAAATAAAAAAATTCAAGTACACGCTGCAGCCAGGGAAACCTCTAAACAAAACAGGAACATCCCAGAGTAGCTCCCAATCAGGTTGCCTTCAACTACAACAAAAAAGTATCTAAATGCAGTTTTTAAAGACTGAGATTTCATCTTCCAGCAATTACAACATTATCTGAAAATACCTCTTCTCCAAGGTTTAATCAGCAATCTCATATAACAAGGACTTTGCCAAAGTTTATGATACATGGCATGATCTGTAAGAACTTAGTTATAAACATTTTTATAAGCACAATAATTTGCTATAGCATTATTCAGACATTTATAGATAAGAGCTTGTCAACATCTCTAAAAACCTGTAAATATTAAGAGTAAGTTCCACGTACAACATCAGATTTATGGTAGCTACATAAGAACTGAAAATGGAGGAAGAGTTAAAACCTCCTAAGACAGATTGCTTGAGAAGTGATTTTTCCCAAAATCACATATGTTTTCTTCGAAGTTTTAAGTCTTTACAACCAACAAATCCTTCCCTCCCCACTAATCACCCAAACCAGGTATTTTGGCCAACATTATTCTATCTTTGTGCTTGAAAAAACAATTAAAAGGTCATTGGGGAATCAAGTGACACAGTTTTTCTCGAGTTATCATCATACATCAAGGCCTTAAAGGTAGCTCTACCTTCTCAATGGTTTCAATACTAGAATTCCAGAAACTAGAAAATCACCAATGGCCAGGATGGCTGAAACATCATCACAAAATAAAAAGTGAGGTGACTGGAGTGAGTTTTAGAAGTCCTAAGCCAGCACACTGAAGGAAGCAGCAGGGAAGACACAAAGATGGAGTGTTCCATGTTGTGCCACAGCAGCAGCAGCAGCACTGTGGCACCCAGACTGAAGTTGGTGCTCAGTGAAAGGAAGTTTTTTAATAACTTTGCTGTGTATTGCTTCAAAGCAGCTCTGTGACCAGCTGATGTGCAGTCACTTGTGTGCAAGTCTAAATACCCACAGTACAACAATAACAATAAACTCTGAGATGGCATCACTTCCCAAGGTTTAGTGCTATGTGGTGCTAATATGGGAGAGGGGAAGTCACAATTTGTGAGGCTTTTCAAAACACACAAAGAATCCTCTAGAGACAAATAAGAAAAGCCAGCAGTGACTTTTCTGACCTCTTTGTATTAAAAAATATACATAAGAAATCCAACTACTACATTAAAACAAGATTTTAAGATCTTAAGTATTTCTAGTTTTCTGTAATGAATTAGGGGAGGAAAAGTACAATTTTCTTTCTCCAAAAAAGGGAATCTGCATGTGAATTTTCAGGGATTTACATATGAATATTTTTCCTACAAAGTAAAATTTAGTATTCAAAACTTCCAGAGCCTTAACACAATCAACCCTGCCTCCGTCTAGCTTTCCTCTCACACTTGTGAAGATTCTGCTATTCAATGGCTTAAACACAGTATTTTGCTCAAACTACAGTTAAGAGGATTTTTTTAAAAGTTTTGAGGACTAAAGATCAAAATGTTTAAAAGTAATTTGACACACAGACTTCAAAGCTGAAACAGATAACTGCGACTAGTTTTCCTTCCTTGTTTTTCTTTTGGTCACAACAGAAAGGCTTGAAAAATTCAGGTCAGCTAAAGCTTTCTGACTTTGGTTGGTGTGATTCCAAACAAAAAATATCCTGAACTTGTCATAAATCTTCATTTCTCTAAGTGTAAAATGGGGTCAAAATAATTTTTAAAGCATTTTCCCCAAATCAAGTTTCAGTATGATCCACACAAGTATTTTTGGTCAACATCAAAAATCAAATATAAGGCTATGGAAGTCCACAGGCTACAGTTAGAGTGTATTCATTTACTGGTTTAAGGCACAGTATATTTATTTTTTTTCCTCTAGAAAGCTACAAGTTTAAAATCACAGTGAGGAATTTCACATTTCAGTTTTGGTCTGGCATTCTAGTTATATTTGTCCTGTCTACTACCTGTAGACCTCTGCAAATTATTCCAGCTGTCAGGTGCTGCAGTCTCAAATCCTGTTTCCAAACTCAGAGTGAAAGGAAGTGGAAAATACTGAAGCCTGAATTGATCCCAAAATAATGCACTTAGCCTTTCTAAAAAATAAACATCAACACACTTGACATTTGATACTTAGATATACCTTGAAATTATAAGTTGGAGGAGGAAAATAGTCCTGGCTGGTATTTCAACAAACAGAACGAGTCTATAGGACACAGCTCAGTGTCCCAGGTCAGTCAGAGTTTCCACTGTTTTAGGAACATCCTGCTTGGCTACAGGGACACTGCCAACCAAAGAGCTGCATGTGGAAGGATGAACTGCCATGATGTGCCACAAATAACAAATATGATGTTCACAACTCCTGCTTTTTAGAGACAAACTCAGCTCTGACACCACACATTCCTACAGAATCCAGAGCACAACCTGCCAATAACTGTAGGGGCTGTGCTTACAAGGTTTGTGTATGACAGCAGGAGTAGCAAAATCTGTCTACATTTAAGAATGCAGAAAGAAACCTTAAATCTTAAGAAAATCAAAGTCAAAATATTACAGCTCAGGTTTTCATCCTACAAGGCAATAAGCACGTATTTGAAGCAGTTAGGTGTTTAGACACCGGAATAATTGAGGGCTGGGCAGATTTGCTTAAGTAAGAGCTATGGAATTTTCTCTCCAAATGCTTAAAATTAATTTTTAAAAGCAGCAGTGTCTTATTAATAAAGACAAAGTGTATACTTTTTACTTGAGTTTAAGAACAGATGAGCTGATTAAAAGCTTTGAACACATTCTAACATAAATAAAAATATACATCAGAAATTATAGTCTTTGCAAAACGTTTTCAAAATTTTAAAGACTTTATGGATTCTAATATTCTAGTTTAAAGGTCTGGCTCTAAAAAAAGGTAGAAATTTTACTTGAACATAAAAAATTGATTAGTTTTGAATTGTCCTTCATTGCCACACATTTCCTGGAGGCTATGCAACAGCAGTATGTAACTTTGGTGACACAAGTATGTCTCCCCTAAAGACACAGTGATGAAAATTTTATATTTTACAGTACAGTGCTAAATGCTTACAAAAGCTACACTGATTATCTCCCAGAAAAAAAATATGTGAAAAGTCAAAGCTGTAAATTAAGTGAGAAACATTCACCGTTAAAACATTAAATAGAAAATAAGCATTAAGAATTCAGTCTGCTTTACAATTAGCAACTTTCTAGTAGCTTAGTGACTTAGAACAGCAGCACAATTCTGTACAGACTCTGAAGCCACTTCCAAAAACATTTTCAGAGCTCAGAGTATTAAAGGTCAGTAAATGGCTGGTTTTAGCTCAATATAAATACAACAAAAGTCTAAACACACTCAACCCTGTATTGAAATAAACTTGATTCAAATCAAAGTTTCTCAAATGTTTACATTTATTAATAGCTACATAATGGACTTTATTCTGTGCTGTCAGATTTATCAGATTTACCAGATTTCAAAAAAACACCAAGTGAGTTCATCACTTGTTACTGGCAAACACACAGAAAATGAGATGTATCAAACACTGACATATGCAATGCTTTTAAGGTTAAATGTCAATACATTTTATTTTATTAATAACTGACTTTAAAATTAGCCCAATGAGGTTATAGATGAAAAATTCACTTAGACATACCAGCAGTCTCTATGCCTTCTACAGTGTATTACTACTGCACTGCTTA